GGATCCCTGTTACACACCGATACAGGGCACTGTGGGATCCCTGGGGTCACTGTTACACACCGACACAGGGCACTGTGGGATCCCTGGGGTCCTTGTTACACACTGACACAGGGCACTGCGGGATCCCTGGGGTCACTGTTACACACTGACACAGGGCACTGCGGGATCCCTGGGGTCACTATTACACACTGACACAGGGCACTGTGGGATCCCTGGGGTCCTTGTTACACACTGACACAGGGCACTGCGGGATCCCTGGGGTCACTGTTACACACTGACACAGGGCACTGTGGGATCCCTGGGGTCACTGTTGCACACTGACACAGGTACTCGCCTCTGCTGTTCTTGGAAACCTTCAAAAGAGTCCAGAGAAACACCGAGACCACCCTGAAGCTGTTATGCAAGGGGCACAGCAGCTGGGTCCTGACTTCACACCAGGAGCATGGTCTGACAACAGCCTTCCAAGTCCAGTCAATCCCAGGCACTTCTGACCCAAACCACAGGCATGTGGTGCTTCTAATCACAGCCACAAAGAAACAGAACCACCTGCAGGTGAAGACTGCGGAGCAGCTGGAGGCAATGGTGGCAAAGGTCCAAGGTGACCCCAGAAGGGGACGCACCCCATGCTTGAACACCCCTGGCTTCCGTCCTCATATGGAGCCTTCAGTTATCTATCGGAGTGGGCTTCTGCTCCCTGCAACTGAAATTACATCAAACGACCACTTCTCTTCCTTGGCCGCGATGGTGGGGAGCACGCGACTCTCCAACACCCCCTGAAGGAACTACCTACACAATATGAGGGACCAAGTGCTGCAAGCAATGCTCAGGGGAGTCCTAGACACAGGAGTTTACAGAGCAGCTCAGAGGACAGTGTGAGCAGTATTTAAGGGAAGTGTGGCATGCTGGGAACCCAAGAGAAAGGGGAACCAATGAGTCCCAGTCGACCCGCTTTAGAGTCTGGCTCTTCCTGCAGTAAATGCCTGCTGTGCCCCGCGTACAGTTGAGTTAAAGCAGAAGAAAGAGTTCAAAGGGGAAATCCAGTGCCACTTCCTCATAATTAGGCCTTGTGTGCTGTGGGTGAGTTTCACATCACCGTTTTCTAGCATAACGAGTAAGATATGAGAGTGACCCTCAGATCCAACTCCTTTCCCATGTTGTTGGTTTGTAGAATCTAAGTTTTGTTAGGCTCATGAATAAGCAAAACTGTAGATGATTTTACCCTAGAAAATCATTCTGAATATTGTCTACATCATTTTAAAAGACCGAAAGCAAAGTGCCTCAGCAGTTGTCCTAACAGATGGTCCTGCTGCCACTCACGCCCACTCCTAGGAGGAGACATATTTCCACTTGGTTCTAACTCTCAGCATAAGCAAACAGGGAAGTGAGGTGGCTGACTTCCGTTCTGGTGGCTCAACACTAAATTGGCTGAGGAAACTGCTGTCTGCAGAAATAGTTCTGTGATGATGGGGGGGGGGGCACTGACACACAGATGGCACCGTTTTCCACTCCGATTATCCTGGCCTAGCAATGCTTTAGTCCCCATAATTACATGCGCTCCAAGCTGTATTTACATCTCATCCTCTCTGCTTTGCCCAAAGTCACACACAGAAGACGGAGGAGTTCCTACAAACCGCCTTGCAAACTGACAAAGTGGCGCCCTGAACTGCCGAGGAGGAGGAAAAGCAAACGGAGAGCAGATTGTGTACTACTCCTTTAGGCAAAGAGCAGCAGAGTCGTCTGCTCACCAGCAAGTGTTGCTATGGGGATCTGTCACATTGGAGAGCTAGGGATGGGGCTGGTAAGATGCTCCGTGGGAAAAGGGACTCACTGCACAAACCTGGCGATCTCGGCTCGAGCCCTGGGACTTACATAAGGGTGGACAGAGAACTGACTTTTATACCAAGTTGTCTTCTGGTCTCCACACGTGCACATGGCGCATGCCCCACCCCCAAATACATAAAAACGCTTAAAAAAGTTAACATTATTCAAACAGAAGTCACCATTTTGAGGGCCATTTACTTTCAGTTTCTAGTCTGGGTATCTCATCCTTGGAGCCCCTTACACCTCGTAACTAATGCTTGGGCAAACTCACCTCAAATCTGAACATATTTTCTGGCATGTTGAGAAACATCTCTTGTATTTACTGTTATCAGAGTTTTGCTTTAACCCCAGGATTTCACTTAGACCTACGTTTATCTTTTTTCCTATACACAGTTCTGGAATAGTATTTGGAAGCAAATGGCAAAACACCCATGAAATGTGCTGGGATTTAGGATCTCCCCACCCCCCATTTTTTTCTGCGGTCTGAAACATCCTCTAGTATCTTTAACTCCGTGTATGTAAAACGACTCCCGTCACCCTTAGACCTGTGTCCATGTATGCACACCTTAGAGGACAGCCACACAATCCTTCTAGTCTGTAAAACAAAAACAGGATTCTGCAGCTTAGTGGTCAGACACTTGGGCTCTGGAGTTCTGGGTGCCTGGCCTTGCCCTCATGAAGGCCAGGCTCAGAGGTCTCAAGTTTTGCTGTCTGTTGAACACGACTATTCAACAGCTGCAGTTTTGGACAATTTGGATGAAGTGATGTGATCACAGTGCAAATACATGCTATTGCTATCACTCCACTTCCTGGTGTCACTGTGTCCAGGAAGCTACTCACTCTCACCTACTTTATTTTGGGTTTCTCACTCTGTCAGCCCCCAACACACTGAAAGTACACTATTAAAAGACCGTTTCCCTTCAGTTATCCATCTGTTCACAAGACCGTGAACTTATGAACCATACACAGTCTTAAGCCTTCTCAGTCTTTGGCAAAGGACACTGCTCAACATGTTCACATGGGCATCAACCTGGTAGGTGGAAAGGTGCCCACTCCAAACACTAACCAGCTTTCCAGCCTCAGGCTCTGGAGACTGTTACTAAGAGCCTGAAGTTGAGGAAACAAAGCCTGTTTCCTGTTGTGGTTGTTGGTTTGTTTTTGTAGGCACAACATTCCAGAGAATATGATTTATAATGGGTTTTGAAAATGCAACTTTTAGAACCCATTAATCTGTGGCACTTGTTAAAGGCGTAGCTTTCTTGGCCTCACTAGGATGTGCATTTTAGTTTTACTGATTTACGAATCAAGCCTTAGATCTCTGTGGACTGTCAGGACAATACTGTAACCCATGAATTTCAGGTGTGGAGCAGAGAGTCCTGGAGGAGCTCCACTTCCCGTCTCACACCTGATACAATTCTGCAGAGGCTACAAGGCACTGTGTTCCAAGGAGTGCAGGGGAAATGAGAATCTAGCCGAACGCCGGTAGGCCAGGTATCAGTGATACATGCAGAGCACTACAACCTCAGTGATTCGGGTTTGGAACACTAACACATTTTTGTTTTTCATTTTTGAGACAAGTAATCATGTAGCCCAGGCTGGTCTCAAATCTGCTATGCACCCAAAGATGACCTTGAGTTCTGGTGCTCCTGTGTCTCCATCTCCCAAGTGCTGGGATCATAAGTATACACCATCACGTGTGGCAGGAAAAGAATCTTTGCAGACTTGTCTGTTGTGTAATTATGTGATGAGTTTATTGTTCTAAAATGAACCCGAGTTGTTTTGGTTTCTAAAATGGAAACTACTGATAGCTATAACGCACACGAAGCAAACCCTCTGACATTCTTAGTAAGTTTTAAGTGTAATGGAACTCCAAAACCAGAAGTGTGACACTGCTGCTATGATGTAACGCGTAGAAGAGATCACGTGGTTTGCCAAGGCAAACTCCAAGCTTCAATGCCATTCACTTTGCCTTTAGAAAACCAGAAGAAAGGATCATTTTGTAATTTCAGTTTATTTGTTCTAATGGACATTTTATGTGTGTGTATTGCTTGCATGTAGGCAGGTGCACCCCAGTTTCCTCGGAGGACAGAGAGGGCGGTGGATCCCTGGAACTGGAGTTACAGATGGTTAGCCGCCATGTGGGTGCTGAGATTGGAAGCCAGGTCTTCTGCAAGAACAGCTAAGTCTTAACCACTGAGTCATCTCTCCAGTCCCTTTGCTTCTAGACAAGGTGTGGTTACGTAGCTCAGGCTATCCTAGGATTTACTACATAGACAACGCTAGCCTTGAACTGGAAATCCTGCTTCAAAGGAATAGGCATTTTTAATAAGCCCTCAGAGACACCGATTCAGCAAAATCTAAAGAATTACCATCAAAAGTAAAGAAAAATCTCTGAAGGGTTTTGGAGGGGGCCACTGTATCTGGACACTGAGATCTTTTTAAGGGACTGAACACAGGCAGAAGCCCCGGGTCCTCTGTCTTTAGGTGCTGGGGAATCTATGCGAGGGCTGTGCACAGGTTGTAGCCAAACGCCGCACTCCTGAGCTAACCCAGCACAAAATCAGGGCTCTTGGAAGCCAAGAGTCTGCCTGTCTAGACTCAAGATTGCCTACTGCCTACTTTTCCAAGGTGGTGTCTCAGGCCTTCTTGGCTGTTCTGGGCATCCGCAGCTCCTGGGCGAAAGGAGGCGTGCATGTCTGATGGGGGAGGGATCGTAGGGGACACGCGTGACTGATGGAGGAGGGGTCGTCAAGTCTTCACTCCTCGCTTGGGGACCTCTAGATACTCTCCACCGAAGTCCACATTAGAGTCACGCTCCTGGTCCCAACCCGACAACCTAGGTCTCGACTCTAATTCCCCGCCCCCATCCCAGGGCTAGCCTCTTCCCGCAAGGCTTCCTCCTAACTTCCGGCTATCCCACGCCCCTCCCCATCCCCGTGAAGCCCGTAATAATCGGCAGACGACGCCGACCGGCGACTCCGGCCTCCCTCGCCCACCACCGTGCCAGCGAGCGGGGAGCAGGCCCGGCTTCCCGGCATGCCCCGGGCGGCAGCATGGCGGGCCTTCTGCGGTCACGTAGACCAGGCCGTCCGCAGCGGTGCATCCCAGGACTCTCCGCGTCCCCGCAGCCGCCCAGCACCTCCCAGGAGGCCACCGAGCCGGGGCCGGGGCTCACTTACCTCCGCAGGCCACGCTCCTTCCGCCCCAGCAGACGCGTGACCCGGAAGCACTGTCTGCAGGCGAGCCCGCCTCCGCGCGCAGGGAGCGAGTACTTCCGGGGCAGTTGGAGCGGCGCGCCGGCCCCTGGTCCGCGGTGAGGGCCGGCGTCGCGGCTGCGGGACTTTCGGGGTGAGGCGGGCGGGGTGCGAGGGCCGGAACCCGGGGCGCCGGGGTCTCCAGGTCGTGGCCTGAGGGGCGGCGGCGCTTCCGGCTGCGCTTGAGTTGCAGTCTGCTGGGGCGTTCCGGTCGGCGGGAGGGGACTGGGGAATTGTTTACCTCAGGGCTGGGGGGTGGGGCCTGCGGGGGACCGCGGCTTCCGCTGTGTGGACCCGGCGCGGGCTCTGTGTGCCCGAAGCGCCTTCACCTCTGCTGTGTGGACGCGACGTACAGCTCTCACCTCAAAGGGAAGAAGAGTTTATTCCGAGTCATGTCTGATGGCCATGGCCCGGGGACACGGGTGCAGGTCACCCCGATTCCGTGTTCCCGCGTGGAGGCGGCTTCACGGGGATTTTATAGTGAACAGGAAAAAGTCATGTCAGGACCCTCCAGTACCCTGGTGGAAACGTTGAGCAGGTGTCTTGGCCAAGGGGGGTATGATAATGGTGGTGGTGGTGGTGGTGGTGGTGATGATGGTGGTGATGGTAATGATGGTGGCGATGAGGGTGATGGTGATGATGGAGATGAAGATGATGATGGCATGATGGTGATGATGGACGTGATGGTGACGATGATGCCGAGTATGGTGATGGTGATGATGGAAATGATGGTGAGATGAGGATCATGATGATAGTGATGATGGTGATGATGATGATGATGGTGGTCGTGATGATTTCTGCTGTAGGCCTCATGCTAGCTGATGAGGTTCTTGACCCTTTGGGACCTGGTAACACATTCCTGAAGGTTTGTATTGGTTAGTCATGGATATTGAGTCAGAAACAGAGGTGACCAGGAGATGGCTCCTTAGGAGCTAAGGCTAGCCCCAGAGAAGTGATGAGGCTGTGGACTTGAGACATTCAGACTCTGCAATGTGGGACCCTGATCAGTTGATCAGCCTGCAGAAGAAAGTCCAGTGTGGAGGCACAGGTCATCTGGCGACTGGGTTTGCAGTAGCAGGCCGTCTCCTCAGCCATGACATGGCCCGGGTCACCACAGAGCGGGGACAAGCCTGGTTCTGCACCTGTAGGTGCTAGTGTGAGTGGATGAGACAGCAGAGTGCTTGTGCCATCTGCACAGTCACCTCATTGAGACACTCCCCATAGGAGCCCAGGGGCCAGGTGATTTCTGTCTCATTGAGCTGACACACTAACATCAGAACCTTAAATTGTTCCACTGCCCAGAGTCCGAGCACCCTGTGTGGTTGTGGAGCCCAGTGCTCTGAGGACAGGAACGAATGGAGTGGCACTGGACACTGCAGGCTGTGGGTGAACTGTGCCTGTCCCAAAAGGCTCTGCACCCAGAGTCCGAGCACCCTGTGTGGTTGTGGAGCCCAGTGCTCTGAGGACAGGAACAAATGGAGTGGCACTGGACACTGCAGGCTGTGGGTGAACTGTGCCTGTCCCAAAAGGCTCTGCAGCCAGAGTCCGAGCACCCTGTGTGGTTGTGGAGCCCAGTGTTCTGAACACAGGAACAAATGGAGTGGCACTGGACATTGCAGGCTGTGGGTGAGCTGTGCCTGTCCCAAAAGACTCTGCAGCCGTGTGGCACGAGATAGTTACACACACTCAAGGGCCCGGTGCTGTAGATCCTTCAGTGTTACAAGGGAAATTGGAAACTGTATTTATTACGGGAAGATGAGATTTTTAAATCTGAGCAACTAATTCTTTAAAAGTTAAACAGTATAGGCCAGTTAAAGACATCTGTAGTTAGGATGAGATTCCCAGTTTGTGGCCTCGGCTCTAGGCTTATTTTAGATACACTCTGTGTTTCATCCCCTGTGCTAATGAATGTCTAACTCCCTGTTCTAAACTTCTTTGGATGTAGTTTGATTATTGTGCTGTATCACATCTGCCTTCTTTGTTAATTTCTCTTTTATTGTGTTAGAAGCGTAACAGTGCGAGTCAGATCTATTCTGCACTTAGTACATTCCTGGATAAAATGCTTTTACAGATACCTGGCATGTATGGTGTACATATGGTCCTTGGTGACAATTAGTTATCCTGGAAACTCGACTTCCTCTTTATAGAAGTACCAGTGATAGCATGGCTTGACTTGCTAGAGTCCTACTTTTGGGAAGAATTAACTAGGTAACATTGCTACTCCAGAGCTGACCTGAGGTGTCGGCAGAGTCACGTGAGTGGTAGAGCGCTTAGCAAGTATGAAGTCCTGGGCTGACCTGCAGCACTGCCAAGTAAATGAAATAAAAAGTCCAGTTCAGTTATGCTTTGGTTACATCAAATGGTCCAGCCATCAACAGCAACATTTGTTATATTTGCAATGAATAGTAAAAAGTAAAAAGCTGACCTGACAAAACTGCTATTTGATGACTTAATCTCTGGGCGAGTTGAAGTGGGAGTGCGTAATGAAAGCGTTTTAAGGACAGTGAGTGAAAGGAAAGATTGACTGGAGCTCATCAAAATGCAAAGCTCGCTTGGTGAGAGACCCCATGAAGATGGTGAAGAACCCAGGTGTGGTGGTTTGGGTTGAGGCAGGAGGATTGCCATAAGCTGAGGCCAGCCTGGGCTACAGAGGGAGATCCTGTCTTAAAAGAAAACAATGAAAACTGAGCTGTAGACTGGGGTGAAGCCACACCCTGAGTTTAGAATATGAAGTACTCTCAAAACTCAGCAGAGAACAAATCTAACTAGAAAATGAACAAAAATGCAAATAGGTATTTTACTGAAGAGAATGTTCAAACGGTGAACACGTGAAAAGTTTCTAGCATTTTTAGCCATTAGAGAAATGCAGTGTAAAGGTCACAGTGAGCTACCACCACAGACCTCTGAAAATGGTTCAAATTAGGAAAAAAAAGGTCAGAACACAGAATACTTTAGTTTCTTTTACTGCTCTGGAGATGAGTTTCATATAAAACTAAACATGGACTTACTATTTGACCCATATTATAATAAATTTTATTACAGAGAAAAGAAAGCTTATGTTCACATCCTGTATGTGAACGTTCATAGTTTTTACTTGTGTACTAGTCGCATATTGAAAACTAAAGATTACCTTGAATGGACAGATGCATTGTGCCTTGCACCTACTACGACTCCGACTCCGCTGATTGAGAAGAGTCACTCAAGAGCTAATCTACTGCATGCTCCAGTTTCTGTGACTTGAAATGGCAGTTTCAGAGTCAAGAGATCAGTAGCTGGTCATTGTAGGCTGATAGAAGGATGGGACGTGTCTTTGCCTTCAAAGTCTAGCACAAGGGATCCTTATGGTTAGGTTGTGTGTGACCCGTCCATCATGGTCAGGAGAGTCATGCTGTTGGTCCTTTGTATCCATGGGTTCTGTGTCCAGACTCTCAGTCATGAACTGAAAATATTTGGAGAAAATATATCTTCTGTATGGAGCCTGTACAGACTTGTCACTGTTCTCAGTGTAGTGTGGCAGCTACCTGCGGAGCGTGATGCTGTGTTAGGTGTTACAAGCAATGTAGGGTGGCGGATGAGAGGGCGTGCAGGTGGCTGTACCATTTTATGTGAGGAGTGTGAGCCTTGGAGACATGCAGGAGCAGTGGGTCTTGGAACCACTTCCCTACAGACTCTGAAGGCCAACTATGTGTGTGATAAGTGTGCAGAATTACTGAACACATAAGTGAGTATTTGCAAAACTGCTAAACTTTACATAAGATGGGGAATTGTAACGATGCCAGTTTTTGATTGTTCCTGGGGAAATGAGTGGAGATGGCAGGGTTTCTTTGCATTATTATTCTAGTACCTGAATCAGAAAGTCTCAAAGGTTTCAGCAGATAGTTCATACCAAAGAAGTGTATATAAATGAGTTCCTTTTGGGCTTTTATTTTTGCAGGTGATGTTCTAACCATGTCAGATAAGGATGACACAGAAACTCCTGTGGTAACTAAAGCAACCCCCGTCCTTGAGGATGGAGACTGTGGGCCGGCTGAGAACTCTGTCAGCCAAGCCGAGCCAGAGAATGAGTTACAACCTGTAGCGTCCACTCGGAAGAGACCGGAAACCACACCGTCCAGCAGCCTCAAGGCATCAGAAGCTCTCCCTGTTCAGGTGTCACAGACTTTAGCCAAATGGAGCATCTCAACATTTTGGATTTACAAGTATTGGGGTTAAAAAGCATTTGGGATCCATATCTTTCAGAGTTCTAGCAATGCCTTTATAAGTCAATGCATTTGCTGCCCAGTGCTCACATGCTGATGACTCGGCTGTCAGTCAGGCTCTCTGTCTCCTTAGCCAAATAATGAGTATTTGTTCACCTCTGCTTCAGCTGATGAGACACCTTATCTCTACATTCTGAATCTCATTTTTCTGTTTTCTGTGTCTTCTTTTTTTTCTCTTACTGGAGAAAACAGGAGACTGTTTCTAAAGATGTACCCCAGAGCGGATGGGGATATTGGGGCAGCTGGGGCAAGTCTCTGCTCTCCACAGCCTCTGCCACAGTAGCGACCGTAGGTAAGGCCATCAGTCCTTCGTTATTTTTGTGAGCATTTCTACAAGTTTGTGTTGTAGATGACTGAATTCTCCTGTATTTATTAAAGGACTTTATTGTCTGGGGCTGGCTGGTACTGATAGGCTGATGTGTACTGCCACGGGAGTTTGTGCATTTTCTTGTTAGAAGTTGAAATCTAAGAATTAATATAAGTCTATTTTTTGGTGATGAAAGTCAGTGGAAATTGTTTTTGTTTTGGGGGAGGAGTTAGACAATTCCCCAGGATTCATTATATATTATTAAAATACCATGCCTGGTGGGCATAGTGGCACATGCCTTTAATCCCACCACTCAGGAGGCAGAGACAGGCGGATCTCTATGAGTTCGAGGCCACCCTGGTCTACAGAGCGAGTTCCAGGCCAGCTTGGGCTACAGGGAGACCCTGTCTGAAAAAGACCAAAAAAAAGACCATGTCTTGTGACCACGACTTTAAAAATATACAGTCTTGATTTTTCGTTTGTTTCTTTGGTTTTGGTAACAAACAACACACCCAAGATGTTACTGTTTTTCTCATTAGGACAAGGTATTTCAAATGTCATCGAGAAGGCAGAGTCTTCACTTGGTATTCCTAGTCCCAGTGAGGTCTCAGCCGAAGCCAAGCTTGCAGCAGGTCAGTGTCTGGAAACCTGGAGGTCTAGGGGTGTGGGGAGAGATGGACCAGGTAAGTTCTTTTTTTTTATAATCATTTATTTAATAGCCACATAATTAGAAGAAACATTTCATTACAACAGCATTGACATATTCAATAACAATTTCCAGAGCTAAGATGCATCTCTTTCAAAATTGGCTGTAAATTTTTAGGTTTACAGTTGAATTGATACAGTTATACAATATTGTACTCCGTATAACCCCTATAAGACATAAAATTAAATGAGGTTTTAAACTTTAAAAAAGATCTCCATTTCATTATTAAAATATAGTTTCATACAGAAAAATTCATTTTCAATACTATTGACACTAAGATGCACATGCATTTCTAATCTCTATATATCTGATTATTACTAGTCACAGTCAGTTACTTTCTGAGCTCCTTGGCATCTGAGCATGGATATAAAGTCATCAGGTAGATTTCAGTGGTAATGTCTTTCACATCTACTAATTATTAAGGAGCAAATTTTTATGCTTTGAAGAATTATTATTTTTTTCTTTTTGTTTATACACCCAGTTCCCAGATAGCACCCTCCCATAGCCTCCCTCCCCCAACTAGAGCCCTTATACTCTGATATCCCTGCTACTGTCTGCTGTGTTGTTGGCACCCCCAGCCATTCCCCACTACTTGCCCTTCTGGTGAATCTAGTCAGCCTATCTAGAGGTAGGCTGGGGGTGTTTTAGGAGGGTCATCTGTTCTTCATCTAGCGGTAATCAGTTGTCTATATTCCTTTGGATAAGATTGGGGTCTCTGTTCAATTTCCCAGTTCTATGCTGGGTTACTATCTGGGAATCCCTTTGGCCACCCTGGCCAACAA